CACATGACACATTTTCTCTACGTATCTTCTCTTCTCTATTTTATCCACCACCCCTCCAGTAACTATGAAATTAAGCATAAATTACTCACTATAAAATCGTCCTTGTTCAGACAAACCATAATTTTCATAGCCTTTAATTTTGTTTGGATACAGAGCTATCATATAGAAAATCAGACCCCTCCTGCCACACCCACCTGTCATATCCTCTCTTTCAAGATTTGTTAATAGTTCTCTCTTACGTTTAATTATATATTACCTATAACAAATAGAAAGCCAAGGTTTTTATCTATCAAATGATGTATTATATTACATTGTGTTTTGACCTCATAATCGTCAAGTTCACTTGCAACACAACTTTGGTTCCCACAAGAATCACAACAGCCAAATTGGATGAATTTCTAATGGCTCTTGTCAGAAAGCCAGAAAAATTGTCATTATTAGAGGAAATTGTCTGTTTTTTGCATATTATTAGTCTATGTTCTTTGGTGTACCACTACATTTAGTATAAGTAAAAGTCGGGTTAAGTGTCATCGATAGTCGATAGCAAAATAAAAAAAAGAGAGAGAGAGAGAGTACATGGGTAAATATTTTATTTCATGTTTTTCATGTTTATTCCTTATTTATTATTATAAAAGAAACTAAAATGTAAAAATAAGGATCTCCTTAGGTAAGTTAAGGTTAGATTAGGTAAAATAAACAATAATAATAATATAATAAAAATATTTCACAAGTAATGCATGCGAGCAGCTCGGAGTATCTTGAGGGAAAATGTAATTCGATAGCATAACATGAGCTGCACGTACCTCAAGTGATTTACAATTGATAATGGCACAAATAGTAGATAGGCACAGTTCAAAGGGCAATAAAACAATAAAATTTAATTAAAAATAGATGTATATTGTTACAAGTCTAAAGCTACTTAGAATAAACGAACGTAGTTCCATGCTACATTTGAAGTCATTCTAGAAAGCAGAAGAGGGTAATTTAGATTTATTTTGGTAATTACGAGGTCAGTCAAAATGACCAACTTTGTATAGAGTTAGGGCAAACAAAATTACAGATAAAATATAAAGTTTCACTGAAAACAAACATTTGAAATGTACTTAGGAGGTTTTAGAGATAACACAAATGATTTTTAAGATGAAGAAAAGTATTTTTGATCTTAACATGAAAATCACTTTGAATATGGACTATTCAAAACAAATACTCAGATATTCCAGGACAAATCTATTTTTACTTTATTAAATATACTTCACTAAAACAATATGTTGTTGTAAGTGAAAGACATATAATGGTTACTGAAAGACTGCCAAATTTTGTGACGACATACACACTATATTAAAAGTTAGTAGTATCAAATCTATAAAGACTTTGAATGAATACAAAGAGGTCATATTGTCGGTCAAATTGACCGAGCCCATGTTGAGAGAGTTAAAATAAATTCTAAATAACCACATCTTACAAAACAAATTATGAATGAATTTACCTAAACAACATTTCTGAACTTCAGATTAATAAAAAGTCATAAAGTCTCAAGTCTCTCTCCCAAGTGCTATGCTTTGGTCAGAGCTGAAAAGTCCTCTAGCATGTAACTAAAATCAAATAACATTTATTTGCTAAAAGAACAACAATTCAACTTGTTCTTCATTAACTGATTAATACAAATCACAACATATCACCATGTCAACCAAACAAAGATTTACACTTATAATGTTATGCAACAACTGTTGTATATCTCACAGTTTTCTATTATTTTTAAATGTTTTCTCAGTTTAATGCTATAATTCCACTTAACTGAAAACCTTGTGAGTCAGCAGTCACCATCACAGTTTTAAAAAAAATTTATTCATCTTGTATCTGAATTAAACTAATAAAAACACAGAGAGACAAAATAATATTAATAACCAGGAGTGTGCAAGTTCTGGATAAATTTCTTGTCCAAGGTGCAAAATGCTAGAAATATCTACTTGTCCTTCTGAAAAATCTATTTGCCCCTTATCATTCCACAAAATACACAAACCAAATATAACTTTTAGGATTTTGCTTTATTAAACAATGAATATTAGCTGAAACTGCTGTACTCAACCAGTCTGTAATAGACAAATGTGGAAATGAATAATATCATAATAAAGAATGAAAATAACTTCACATTAAAACACATCCAAAAAATACATATTTTTAGAGCACTAAAGAGTGTCAACTAAAGGTCTTCATCAGAAAACAATGAAAACAATCAATATTTGCTTTGTTAAAGCAAACAGAGAAAATTTAATTCATTTCAAACATACTTGAAATAACTAAGCAAATTTAATTGTTATTAATGACACATGGCAAAAGAAAAAAGAAAAATTATTTTTTAACATTTCACTTATATTCACATACAATGTTATTGTACTTTTCAGTTTTCATGCAAGTTGGTTTCTTTCTGTAGTTATGTGTAAGTTTCATATCAGACTAGTTATTTATATGATATAATTTAGAAAAGAATTTGGCAGAGTGATATAAAATCCACCTTGATTTCGATCAGCATTTGTTTTTATTTCTGTTCTTGCATCGATTGTACTTATGCAATTGTATCTGGTGGAATAAATTTAGTCACTGCATTATGAATAACTGCCTGTTTCCTTACACATTTAATGACTGTATAGATGACACATGTAATTTATATGTTACCTGTAAAGCTAGTTAAGTACAGGATTTACATCAGAAAGTGAAGTTATAAAATGTATTTATTGTTCATATTTACACTATATTCAAAGGTTGCATTATATGTGTAGGAATTGTTAATAAAATAAAAATAACAGCACTGTGTTCAGGGGACAAAATATCCAGGTTTGCATCACAATTTGTGAATCAAAACAACCCCAGTTGCAGATCACTTTCCTCTTTGAGTATTCATAGAGTGAATAACAGAAGCCAGGGGTCAGGACACACAATGAGCAGTTGCGCCATAACTTCCAGCAGGAGCCAAAGAAAGTCTATTGGTCAATAACAACAAGGTAAAAAGCAAATGGGTGACATCAATTGATGATTCCAATGCCTTTGAGACACCCGCTACGGTCAAGGGATGAAGAAAAGAAGCCTCACATAACTCAGGGAGGGCTACAGCAGGTAGACGAATTCCATTTAACAAGGCATCTCTTACTCAATAAATCCCAACAGTATCAAAGGAAACCAAAAAAAGAGCAGAAGCTGACAATCTTATGAAGGTAGAAGTCAGCAAAAGACCCAAGTAAATTTGTGGGGGAAGGGGGGAGAAAAAATCTCAGAACAGGAGTGAGGGTCAAACGAATATGAGAAATTGTGATCTGTTCAAAGTGATCACAGGGTCCAGTCTGAAACCCCACATATCCAAAAGAGTATCTAATCTGTGGAATCGAAATATATGTCCACCTGGCCAAGGGGGAAAATGTAATTCTACTCATCCCGTAATAGAGCAGTAGATCTTCCAGCATGAACAACAATATCAGGTGAAGGAGGAAAAACTAAGTAGTCACCCTCAGACCTTTCACCCATCGAGGAAGGAGTAGATCCGAAGGCAACCGGAGAATGCCCCCAAACCTCAAAAACCCAATTGACTAACTGAATAAATGTAGAAGGAAGTGGCTGATCCAAATTGGCCTCATGAGAAGCTGACCTAGTAAACAAAGGCGCCAGAAAAAGTCCAAATTCTCTCCAGACTCCCCTGGATCATCAACAAAAGCAGCCTCATAGCCCCCCTAGACAGATGCCTCCAGACCAAATATATGTTTCCATCTCACAACAAATAAGATCATGGACAACCTCAACTGAGAGTGACCCCCCCCCCTTTCCCAATTAACCTTTGAGAAATGCTAGATAACAGAGGTGGAATGGAGGAGGACTGATTAGCCTCCATGCTGGAAATAGTAACCTGTGAATTGATGCCTGAAAACTGCATGTTGCAATTTATTTTTGCATAATAATTATTAAATACAATATATACAGAAAGCCACTGGGCTATGCAAAAATCATAACCAAATACGTTAATTATTGCAGCACTTGTGTAGAGAAACCCATGTCAAAATGCTTTGTCAAGAAAAAGTGATAAAATTATCCGAATGAAGTGCTTATATACA